TTTTTTTTTTTTTTTTTTCAGTACCAGGGATCAAACTCAGATCCTTGTGCTTCAACCCAACTCCGGAACCACTGAGCTAAATCCCCAGCTTTCTACAGAGATTTTTAAAAAATCAAAATAAAGCTTTTAATTACTCTTTTCTGTCTTAGACTGTTTTTCTTTTCATGCAACATCTTATAAGATCCATAACTCTAGGGATAAAACTCTGAGGCCTCCACACAGAGCCAAGACCTGACACCAGCCCTATGCAGATGTGTGACAAGTGACATTGACACATTAACCCTCACACAATAAAGCTGTGCTGTAGCAGGCTGGGTCCCAGAGGGTTTTTGTGACTGCTGGCTCCTGGATTTGCCCCTTCCTCTGTACTTGGCAGAGCTAATAGTAGCTGTATCTTTTGATAAGTTGCTTCACGTTTATATTTTTAAGGAATTTCATTCGTTGAGGTTCTACTCTACCAAATCTCCTACGTGAGATCTTGGGCAGGTCATGTAACTGCTCTTGGGATTGGTTTCCTTAGCAGAAAAACAGGGACAGCAAACCTGGGTGTGGTGGAGCACACCTGTGATCCCAAAACTCTGGCGGGTGGAGGCTGGAGGAGCAAAAGTTTGGGCCCAGCCTTAGGAAGACCTCCTCTCCAAGTAAAACTAAACAGGGGCCGGAGGTATAGCTCAGTGAGAAGCCCCTGGGTTCAATCCCTAGCACCACAAAAAAGGAGAGGGAGATATTAACATCTCATTGTTGTAAGGATTAAGTAAACAGGTGGGAAATGTATAGATCCTTGGCTGGGGCATAGGTGCTTACTAAATGCTGACTGTTATGTTAATGCAGGCTTTCACCACTATATTATTATGATTGCTAGGCATTATGCCTTAGGAGAATATCTCTCCAGTTTCACAGCAGTGCTATGAAGTGGGGAGTACTGTTCTCTCTCTAAAGAAGGAACCGTTGAGAAAGTGGAAGGATCTCTGAATGATTCCAGGCCAGGCTGACCCCCTGCCCCGAGGACATTGGTAGGGCCCATGTTCACACCTGATACCTCTAGGCAAGCGAGGAATAGACAGCTCTGAGGGGATGACTGGCACATGCCTGGCCCTACCTCAGGCTTCCACAGACCCACTTGTGCACCCCAACTTGCACTGCACCCTCTGCCAGGGGGCACACCCTGCTGTAAGCTGTGTTTCCGGTACATGGAAAAACTTAGCTCCTCCCACTGCCCCGGGCAGTGCCACCAGTGCCATGAGCTACCTGGAATAATGTGGCAGCTCTGGGAAGCCACAGTGAATCTGTCATTTTGTCTCTTCCCCACAATTGCTGTGCATTCTCCGGTGGCCTAAAAGAAAAGAAAGAGAAGGTCTAGCTGTACCTTTCCGTTGGAGGGATCTACCTAGTACCATTACTAAATATGACTTTCTTTAAAACAAGCTTTAGAGTGAAGATTTTTTGCAATCTAGTGATTTTTTTTTTTTTTTAACCAGCCACTGATATTCATGAGAGAGTAGAGGAGAGGCAGTGTAAACGGTGAGGCTTTAACCTTCAGTGTTTGTCTAGAGCTCCGGGAATATTTCTCTTCATCCTGATGTACACAGTATCTTAGACCCCGCCTGCTACACTCTCCACTTGATGTACTCCTCGATTCCAGCGGGTGAATTATTATTTGGATGACTTGAGTTTAACCCATCAGAAAGAGCAAACTGGCAGTGTTGTCCAGCTCCAGCTCTGCCATTTGCTGGCTGCCCCTTCTGACAAGTCCCTTTGCCTCTCAAAGACTCAGCTCTCACATTTTGTAGGAGCCACACCCCATCTAATTCACGGGGTCTTTGTGAAGAGCAAATGTGCAAATAGGCGTGAATCACCCACTGGAGGCCACCACGCCACAGACACACCCACCCCACCTCCCGTTATTGCTGAGCAGTGGTTTTTATCCCCCCCGGACTGGGAATTGCAGCCAAGGGCCTCATGCACAGTGAGCAAGCCGTCTACCACGTGTACCCCCCAGTCTGCCATGCCAGGTTCCCCAGGTTGGGCTCGAACTTGTAATTCTTCCTCAGCCTCCTGATTAGCTGCATCACTATACCTGACCGGAACAGTGGTTTGGTTTTGCATTTTCCTGACATTCTTCTGTCATCCTCATTGGATTTCTAAGGGACAGTATTTTATTGGGATAAAGCATGCTGTTCCTCACCGGCACGGCCCTGAGAGACAGGCAGTGTGGGACACAGCAGTTAATCACCCCCACCAACCCGGCAAGATCACTAAAGGGCAGAACCAGCCCCACAACCCTGCTCTCCTGACTCACAGACCCATGCTGTGTCACGACAGCAAGTGACGGTCATTTTCAAAGCCCCATCCGGTTCCGGCACAAGTTGAAAGAGGCCGGCTTCTCAGGCTGTGCCAGTCGTACGTTAGGCATCTGGCTAAGGTAGCCCTTTGTGTAACTTAACTCATTTCATCCTCCAACAACCTGCAAGGTCAGCACTATCTTCCGGTTTTGGGGGAGAGCATCCTTTCAGAGAGGTCAAGCAGATTTCTGGCCCCCACTCAGCAAGCCAGAGCCAAACACAAGATCTGTCCTCAGGCCTGTGTAGCTGGAGCACCCCTGTCCTCCCTTTGTCAGGCCTTGTGTTTAGCCCAAATTTTGTTCTGTTGTCTCTCTGGGATGTGACTCGCACATTCCGTTTGAACACTAGGACCCCTTCTCATGGAAGGGCTTTGGCCACATTTAACTGTTAGCCTTGCTATGATTTTCCTTTTTTTTTTTGGTACCCGGGATCGAACTCAGCTCCCTGAGCTTGCAAGGCAGATGGCAGAACCACTGAGCTAAATCCCCAGCCCTGATTTTTCTGTTTACACAAAAACACAGATATCAAAGCATCTGGCTTAGCTGCACACTTTAAGGTTTATATGCAGCCTTAGTAAAAAGGCTGTGATATTCATTATCCCTGCATGAGTGAAAAGAAATCCATAGCTGCTGACTGAATAAAGAAAATGTGATACACACACACAATGAAACACTATTCAGCCATAAAAAGGATAAAGTCTTGTCACTTCAGCAAACAGGAGGGAGCCTGAAAACGTGTTTAGTGAAATAAGCCAGGCACGGAAAGAGAAACACTGTAGTGCTTCACTCACACGCAGAAACTAAAAAAATTTGATCTGAGAAGCTGAAGGACAAATGGTATCTCGGAGGCCTCAGAGACTAGGGAAGGGAGGATTGGGGGAGGTCCTACAATGGGGACTGAGTCATGGATGGATAGGAACAAGAGGCTCTGGTGCGCCACCGCACGGGGCAGGGGGTGACTATCGAGAACAACTGTGTACTGCATTTTGCAAACAGCTAGAGGAACAAAGTTTGAATGTTGTCAGCCAGAAGAAGGAAGAAATGTTTGAACAGATGGGATTCTTTGACCTGATTTAGAACAACACACAGTGCACACATATATCAAAGTGTCACGTGGTGTCACGCTGACATGCACGATTCTTACAGATAAACCTGGAAAAGCTGGAGGCTCGAGAATCACCAACATACTTACGGCTTCCTCAGCGTCCTTGTACTCACAATCCTGCCAGGTTTTGTCACTTTGAACAGGGCAGTCACCCTCCTTGACTTCATACTTGATGGAATAAAATACATCACCGTGAACCTGAAAAGAGCCATCAAAGGTATTTGGGGTTTATCCGGCTGACCCGACAGCACATAAAAAATTTCAGTGGATGGTGGTATTTATTAAGTGTCAATATTTAAATTTTAATGAATATTTGGCTCTCACTGAATAAAATCTAACCAAGATCTATATTTATAACTGTATTTTCTTGGAAGAATATTCATAAAATGTTTTTTAATTTATGTTTAATTTTGAGACAATCCAAGATAGCCTTGAATTTACAATCCTCCTGCTTCAGTCTCCCATGTAGATGGAATTACAGGGGTGCACCACCCTCCTCTACAAATATGTATTTTTTAAAGGTTACAAAGTGATATCCATAGTATTAACCCATGTTTTGTAGAAACTGATTTGTAGGCACATGTATGCCTTTAAAAAGTCTGGAAAAATACACAGCAGTCTGTTAAAATGTTTATCTCTCAGTGGTGAGATTTTAAACATCTTTTATTTTCTTCTTTAAACATTTCTAAGTTGTTTGACTCTTCTTCCTAAAGAACATTCCTTTAAAAGTCCACAAAAATATATATAATGAATGTATATTTCTTTTGTAATTATAAAAGAAAAACAAGTCTCTTGTTTAAAAATGTTACCAGTTATCTCTGTGGTAAGAACCACAAAAAATACATAATGAATGTATATTTCTTTTGTAATTATAAAAGAAAAACAAGTCTCTTGTTTAAAAATGTTACCAGTTATCTCTGTGGTAAGATTAGTTATGGGTGGGTTTAGTTTATTTCCTTTATTTTCTAGGTTTTCTTTTTCCCCTTTCTTAAAACAGTTGAGGTAAAATTCACATTCCATACAATTTATCCAAAGTGCAGAATTAAATGTTTCTTAGTATTTGTAACAATGACCATCATTCCCAATAGTCCATTTTATCTCCCCCAAAGGATTCCTGAACCTGTTATCAGTTACTGGCAGTTATTTCCCACAGTGCCTTGCTTCAGCCCCTGGCAGCCAACAATGTGCTTTCTGTCTCTGTGTGTTCACCTGCGCCACATGTCTCATCAGTGGAACCACATGTGGTCCTTGTAGCTCACTTTTCACTCTATGTTTGCAAAGCTTAGCCTTGAAGGATATTGTAGAACTTGTCAGTTCTTCATTCCTTGTTTTGGTTTTCTAAAATGTCATGTATAATTCTTAAAGGTGCTGAACTTTCAGAGGCAGAATTTTGGGATGTTAGAGCAAGAAGGGACCTGGGAGGGGACATTGCCCAGCCTCTCGTTGGTAGCTAAGAGCAGGCAGCTCCTGAGCAATCTTATCCCCTTGGGAAGGCAGGACCAACCCCATGTCCTCCATCTCCAAGCTCCTTCAGAACCTGCCTGGTCACATTTTGCTAACCCAGGCCTATCAAGCAGCTGTACCCATAAGGAAAAATGAACATAAAAGAGGACCACATAGACATTTTAAAGCAGAACCAGCTTTTATCACAGATGTCAGCCAATGAAGACACCACCCGTAAAAGGCTGCTTGAAGGCACCAGGAGGCAGGAGTCCTTACAAACCACACTAAATTGTGACACAAAATGGCTCGATTTTGCTTTCTGGGAAAAACAAACAAACATGTCCACTGGGTTTTTTTTTTTTTTTCCTTTATCTTCAAAAAATTGTATTTCCCTGATAGAGAGGAAAAAAATATTAAAAACCAACTAAAACGTTGCTATTAACTTTGATGACTTCAGACTTCATGGTAAGGATTTAAAACCGGGATGAATCTCATTCCTGACTCCCCTTGAATATACTTTGTAAACAACTTCCTCCCATTTAAGGTTTGGAGCTCTTTATATTTTAGTCTAGGGCCAGACACTCAGTGACTCCTCTTGCTTCCCACTGAGTTCCTGGATTCTCCCACTCTGCTTAGCTCCTGGCAGAAGACACTGTTTTGCTGACCACCCAGGAAACCAAGCTTAGTTGCCTGAGGACTGGTCATACCCTGTCCTTTCCTCATAGCCTTCTCCAAGAGCTGTAAGCTCCTGCCTTTGGTTCTTGGGTAAGTGTTGATGGCGGTGTGTGTGTGTGTGTGTGTGTGTGTGTGTGTGTGAGAGAGAGAGAGAGAGAGAGAGAGAGAGAGAGAGAGAGAGAGAGAGAGAAGAGGGAACAAACACTGGGCTCCAACTAGCAGACATCTTAGATTATTTCAAGGTTACACAGAGCTCACTCACTGTCTGGTTGACCTCAGTTGTGCGGACCAATACGAACTGGTTGCCAGTTTGGTTCTTACTGTTGTACTTCTTCAGAGCGGCATCAACAGCCTGGAATACATCCTTGTCGTTGCAGTCAATTTCCTGGTAGTCTGGTTCCCGGGTTAAGCTTGGGAGCAGCCTGGAGCAGAGGAAAAGGATGGCAATTAGTTTCATGATTTAACCGTCTCCCTCTAGACACTGAGGGATTGTTGTGCCAAGGATCAGGCACCAACTTGAGTGCAGATTTTTAACAATCTCCAGCCTCTTATCTCCTCTATCTTCTCTCTCAGCTTCGACACTCAGGACACTGGTTAGATAGCTGCTGCCAGAGATTATTTGTCCTCTTTCAGAAGCGCAAATGACTCTGCCGGGTTACCTGGGTAGATTTCAGGCTGGAACATTACAACACTGGGATTGTTGACTTGATCTTTTGCCTTTGGAAAACATCAGGGAGCACAGAGCACATTCCAAGGGGTTGCACAACTTGGTATAGTAAATTAGAACAGAATATAACCAAGAAAGAGAAAAAACCCCCACTAACTAGCTCTGTTACCCCCTTGTGACTTTCCCAAAGCCATTAACGAAGGTCACTGCATGTGTGAACAGTGCCACAGTGAGTACAGTGTGCAGGTACAGCTCACATAATTCCTGTGCAGGACAACTGTCTGCATAGAAACCACTGCTATTAATTCTACTGCATGCCTGGGAAGTCCGAGCACCAAGTGAGTTCTGGGTGTTCCACCCATGACATGGGCACAGCTAAAAATAAACCATGGGCCTCCTACCTGGTCTCTGCCAAGCCAGCCTCTCTCTGCTCAATTGTGTTAGATCTGTAAAGGAAAATGCCCCAGTATGCAGGGGACAGAGAGGATGCACAAAAGGAGATCGCCTAAACCAGCAATGGCGAACTTTTAGAGATGAGTGCCCAAACTGCACCCCAAAACTCATTTGTTTATCAAAAAATGCCACACTGCAATAAAACTGGAAGCCTGAGGTTTTTGTTTAGGAAAAAAAAAAATATCATACACTAACATCTTTGGTCTTAAAAGAAAAACAAATAACACATGTGCCCTAGCTTCATCACCACTGGCCTAAACTATCTTTCTGATAAAGTTCAACTATTTCAGGGGACAGGCCCTAATTATAGTTACAGTTATCCGTAAATACATGCCATCAAGTCTTATAGAAGAACAGGGGAGAGGGAGTGAAAGAAAAGGTTGTTGTTGATAGGAGCTCTGGACTACCTGAGAGGCCCTGGGAAAGAGGGCTCAGGGTTGGCTAAAGGTGGTGGTGTGGCAGGAACATGTGCTTGGCAGCAAGTCTAGCCAAGATTCCAGTCCGCCTCTGCTATTCAACTTCTGTGTGACCCCAAGCAAGTCAGGCTCCCACACCTGACCCCCCACCCCGACTTTCCTCACTTGTAAAATGTGGACAGTCATGATACCTTCATGAGGCTGTTCTGAGGAGTGACAGAGAGATGCGTTACATATGTTCAGAGCCCGGTAACTGGTCATTATGAGTGGTATCTAACATTAGAAGGGAATGGCTAAGAATCCCTGACTTAATGGAGCAGTTTCAGGTGGATGGTAACAGTAGAAGGTAGATCCTAATGGGGGATAGAGGAGGGAAATTAAGGGTGGCAGAGACTTGAGTAAGATCCTGATCGAGAGGCAGGCAGAACTGGGGGAACTGAGAGGTGAGGGAGTGAAGAATGAATGATGCGCTGGGGATTTAGCACAGTGGTTCCACCACCTGCCTTGCACGTGCAAGGTCCTGAGTTTGATCCTCGGTACCAAAAAGAATGAATAGTGATGCTCCGTCCAAAAGAAGCTGTGAGGAGGTCAGAGCTGGGGTAAACCAGAAGAAATGTGCTAGAAAGGGGGTGGGGTCCATGAGGAACACAGGACCTGAGTGACCTCATGCTTAAGGCTTTTGGGTGCTGTTCACAGAAGCAATCAGGAAACTCTCCCTAGTCCTTCCTTTGAATTCAGGGCCATTCATGGGGCCAATCAGAAGGCTATTCCTAATCCTTCATTTAGATTGGGGCACAACCAATCAAAAAGCACCATTCCTCATCCTTCATTTACATCTGGCATGAGGCCAAAAATAGAGTTTTTCTAGGGCAGCCGTCCCACTACATAGTTACATGAGGTGGGGCCAGCCCAGGTATATTTTGTGTACTAAAGGCTCCTTTGCCTTTATCCTCGGGGCTACCTTGAGTTGTAATCACCAGCTGGCTCCTGTCCTGTAGGAACGTGTTTTCTTTTTTCTTTCAGTAAATCTATACCTTTGCTGTCTTTTTTTGTGGTCTTATCCAATTCTGCGTTCAGGACGCCAGGATCCTGGAAAGAAGCTCCTAGGATCCCCGTCCAGTAACAGCTGGATAGGAAAAGTCCAGGCTGATCATCAAGTGAAAATTCAGAGATGGCTTGACTGTGTATCTAGACGGTGTAACAAAGACGGAACAATGGGGCCTTGAAGGTGGCTCATCTGGGTTCTAATCACAGTCCTACAGTTTATTAACTGTGAAGTGCCAGGCAAGTAGTTGAACTTCTTTAAATCTCATCTTTCTGCTTTAAAACATGGTGGTGGCAGCCCACCTCCCTTTCCTCCCTGGAATATGTGTGGACTTCATGCCCAGTCTTCCTTGCATCAGGTGTGGCCCTATGACAGCCTGCTGGCCAATGGGACATCGACACAAAGGATGCAGGCCTGGCCTCTAGAAACCACTTTCATGGTTTCATAGTTTCATAGACTTCCTGACTATGGAGGCTAATTGAAAGAGGATCCAGGAGAAAATCCTGAGGTCCAAGAGCAGGGGAGAACCACCAGAATGAAAGAACCCAGGACACTAACTTACCCCAGGGATGGTCACCTTTTGGTGAATCACACTGAGCTATTTATTACATGAAAGATAACCAAATTCTGTACCATTTAAGATGCCGAGCTTGTTTGTTAGGGCAGCTGGACCACCTTACTACGATGATATTACTTGTACCAGAGAGTTGTTGGTAAAAATTAAATTATAAAACACAAAACTCCAGAAGTATTTATGGTGTCAATTCATTAATTGAACATTCTTGAACACTTACTACAGGGTAGGCCTTTTAATGAACAAAACAGTCAAAATATATGCTGAACTAGGTTTACTGGGGATAAAGAAATGGAAATAATAAATATTTCTGGTCGTTCAGTCTTGAAGAATGGTAGTGCCACTGACAGCAGAGGTTATGCTAGGAAGGAGAAGAAATTTTCAGAGGAAGAGTAAGGATTTGGGAACTTAGATATTTGATTAAATGTTAACATCACTTTTGAACGTTGATAAAATATTTGCAAATAAACATTCATGTACTTGTTAGCCATCATAATGTAAAAATCCTAGAAGAATAACATCAGTGGCATGTTGTATAAAATGTCTAATAGATTGAAAGCTTCCTAGGATAGGAGTGCTTTTTTTAAACTAATTTATTTACTGCAGCAATTGTATTTGCAGAAGATGAATGCATTTAAGTGAAATGAACTGCTTTCAATTATTATACTTTCCTGAATTGGATTTCTTTTTTAATTTTTTAAATTTCTTATTAGCTCATGTTTCCAGTACATAATGATTACATTCATGAAGGGGAGTTGGCACATTCACATAACACATCGTAATTCTTTTTACTTTTCCTTCCTTTTCTCACCCTCCCACCTCTTTTCATCTTTTGATCAATTCTTATGTTTGTGTTTGCCAGGTAATATTTTCATGAACTCAAGCAATATGAAAGCACTTTGTAAACTATAAAACAAACTCTTCTAAAAGAATAATACTTTGAGTTATTGATCGCTGGTGGATTTGTTTTGTTTGTTGGTCTTCCTGGGTTTCACTTTTCTCAAATCCTCATCAGCCAGCTGACCCGTGGCATGGAACCATGAAAGAACTTCATTCTGCCAGGCAGTGTTGAGCTGGTGCCCAGCAGTACGGCCACCGTTGTTGTTTATGCATGGCCACTGTTCTGATTGGTTGTTGTATCTGGTCTGACCCATCAGTGATTACATCACTGGACATCGAATATTTATAGAGTTTTCATCGCCATTGTGACTGAAAGGTAGAAAGAATCTGAAATCTTATTAACCTGTTTTTTAACACATGAACTATATTTTGGGAAGAAGGAAAAGAAAGAAGGCTAATGTCTTTGGCTCCAAGAAAATGAATAAAGCGAATCTGCATGAGACTAGAAAGAGACTTTCTAGCCTGAGGAAAAGATGGTAGGGTCTGGGATCCTCAGACAGGAGAACTCTGCCATGCTTTCGGCAAATGCAGCCTGGAAGGCAGCAAGATCCCAAGAGAAAATAACAATGGCGTGTAATCACTGTGGTCTTACAGAGACACCTTTGTTATCCCTAGTTTGATATAGGAGTAGCAGATAAACCAGCCTCAGAGTGATGAGAAGGTGGTAGTGAATATCTCTCAGCAGGGGGAACCTGGTCAGCCAATGATCAAGAATCATGTCAGGCATAGTGGTACATACTTGTAATCTCAGCACTCAGGAGGCTGAGGCAGGAGGATTGCTGCAAGTTTGAGGCCATCCTGAACTGTATAGTGAGACACTGTCTCACAAAAATAACTAGCTAAATAAAAGAATCAGATCTCCTTCTTGTGCCCACCCAAATATCTTGATACTATCCGCAAATCTGGAACTATGGCACAATTTTGTGTGGAGAGCAGTAGGGCAGAGAAGCTTCAGGAAGGACTGTGATTAAGTTTCTCATTAGCCCAGTAGGATGACAACCTGCAATAGAAACCAATTTGTCCAAAAACTAAAGGGATTTTTCTGTGCACTCGAATTTATGGTCATGATTCATATCTGCAACTTTCTTTGCAAATTGTAGCCAGATCTTTATTGTCTTGATAATTGAATTTAGAAATTATTTTTCCAAAAGGAAATTTAGATGAGTAAAAATAACCAGTAGGCAACAATTTGGGTCAAGTTTATAATGATCTCTTGAGTAATAATAATAATACATACTGTGTTGGGATGATGAGCTGGAGTATGAATAGTTAGATGCTACAATTAGAGGAATAAAGTCTAAGAAAGCAGGAAATTCTGAGGATCAGATATTTAGCTAAAATCATGCAATGACAAGTGATAGAATTGACTTCTGATTTGTAGGAGTGAGATCTTTCCTTTCCTTTTCATTTGTCTATCTCTTCTAGTACCATTTCCTTCCCAACCCACATTTTGCTGTATCCTGAGTATGGAAATAAGGTTAATATGACTACAATTTTCATTTATTATCCGTTACATTTTATTCATGGTTCTAATTCAGAACATGATTCATTTTTCTCTTTTAAGGAATCATTTCATTTTGGAGATGCGTATGCAAAAAACTTGAAAACTTGTGGGAACTCACTCTTGAACCTCCCTGGACACGATTCAGAGGGAAGGGCCGACGGAGGGAAGGGCTGAATCTCTGGCTGTAGGGGATTGTTGCAGTTTGGTAATGAGACACTGGGGAAATTGGCTTCAGGCAGAGGAAGAACTTCACCTACATTTAGTGCAGGGAGTCGGTAAACATATCCAATGTGTCTTGGATGGAAAGGGAAGTGTCTTTTACCTGGACCTCTTTCTCCTGAGTGCCTGTGTGATGAACCATGATCATGATGGTGATGTTTGGGACCTTGATCATGTGGTGGATCACAGGGTCCATAGTCATGGAAATCATGGCCATGGGGAGGGTGTCTATGGGGAGGGTGACCGTGGGGATGGTGACCATGGGGAGGGTGACCATGGGGATGGTGACCATAGGGAGGGTGACCGTGGGGAGGGGGCCCATGAGGAGGGTGACCATGGGGAGGGTGACCGTGGGGAGGGTGACCGTGGGGAGGGGGCCCATGAGGAGGGGGTCCATGGAGAGGGTGACCGTGGGGAGGGGGTCCATGGGGACAAGGTCCATGAGGACCACATCCATGTGGAGGATGCCCATGGGGATCCTGATTACTGGAACTGTGATTATGAGGAGGTCCATGGGTATGACTGCTGCCAAAAGGAGGGTGATGACATTTTGGCCCTTGAGGGGGCGGTGGTGGTCTGTCTGAATTTTTTTCTTCTGGGGCACATGGACACCCAACTTTATGTAGCTTGTGGGAATGATGATGATCTCTGGATCCATTTGAGCTAAATGGATGCTTGCCATGTATAGCATGCTTCCACCCACCGAAGTGGTGAGGATGGCCCCAACGGGGTGGCATACCACTGACATTTCTGTACTCCTGGTAAAAGACACAGAAAAGCGAAAAGTCATCACTCAGTACAAAAGGAGAAATTGGATATTTAGCTTGATTTAAGCAAATGACTCTCAGATTTCACACATCAACTATTCTACTTTTTAGAATTGGACCAAAACATTGTCTCAGACTTTTATCTGGCCAAGTTGACATAGAAAAAGCAAACAAAAAGTATCGTTTAACACCATCTCTATTTCAAAAAAGGGATAACATTTTGAAAGTGAGAAAGATAATCTCAGAGCAACGGATGGACCTTTAGATAAATACATGTTGTATCATGAAAATTTTTCTTATTTTAGCACAATGTGCTAAAATGATATTAAGGAATGGCACCCATTCATAGACCAATATTTGAAAAACTAACACCATAACTGATACTTCCAACCGAGTTCTGAGGTTTGGTGATAAACTATCCTTTACTCCTAGTGAAAGGACACTTGGCTTCTTTACTCTTCTCTTTGTTCAGGCTTTAACTTTTAAAAAAGATCTATGGAGCCATATTCATGGTGAAGAACCTACCCTTTTCTTTTTCTTTATGTTTTCTTTTTTTGTCTGATATAAAAATTACTATGAAGAATTTGTATTCACAAAGTAACATAAAAATTCCTGGGGCAGATATAAAATATTATTTTGCATCTTATTTATATACCTTTACATGATAAACATAAGACTCGTTTATTCCCCTTAGGACCTACGTCTAACAATAAGAGTTAAGAATTACTAAGTGTCATCATTGGAGTCCTGACTATAAGGACCGTTTTCAAATTGATTCAAGGTTGATGAAATTGTTCATCATTTTATATTTCTTCTAAACATTACCCATCCTCAATTCTTCATGCTTTTTTGCATCATGCAGCAGTTTTGCTCCTTTTGTCAGAGGCCATTCTGTCTGAATTTTCTCCACCTCTCTCTCTCTCTCTCTCTCTCTCTCACACACACACACACACACACACACACACACACACAGAGCTGTGCACTATATGTGTAAAAATATCCCTTATTCTGCCACTGCTTAAGACAAAACATACTCAGCTACTCACCTCAAGATTAAAGACCTCACAGTTTACAACAATATCTTTTGGGATTTCCAAGTCAGAAGGTTCTATATCATAGTACAGATCCGCTCTGCAGAATCCAAAGACCTACAAAGGAGAAAGAAGCACCTTAGTGAGTTTGTGTGCACATGTGGCATACATGCACACACACACACAGTGTAAAGGTTCTCAACCAGAGTTGTAGACTTCTAGGCCCTCAGGAAAGGAAGGAGAGCTTTAGAAAACTCAAATTAGTATTGTCAGATATCCCCACTCAGTATGCATCAATCTTTACTAGGCAACACTTGGAGAAGCACAGTTCCAAAGGCTTCTTTACAAGTTTCTGAGGTTCTTATCCATGAACAGCCACCAACACTGGGCTTCCTCAAGTGCGGTGGGGAAGAACACGTGTCACTCCTGCCTTACCTTTAGGCCAACACTTTTGCCCTGAAGACCTGATTGCCTGTGCCTAGAGAGAGTGAGAAATGGTGTAAAAGATGAATTTGTATAACTTTAACAGGCCAGAAAAGACGGCAAAACTTTGAGGCTCTGAATACAATTCTGGAATCACACAGCTCTATGTTAATCCTAGTTTTTACTATATGTGTGAGTTGAGAAAAGTTACACAAAATTTCCAAAACATGGTCTTTGTAAAATGAGTATAAAACCCTCTCCCTATAGATTGTGAGAGGTCTTTATTAAGCGAGATGTCCGTAAAGCACCCAGCACTGAGCTGGCTTTTCTCCAGCCCACAAGGTTCCTCACTGGGTTTGGGCTTCCCATACAAGGGTGTCTAAGACTTCACTGGGGAAGGCAATGTGGGGGGAAGGGAGGTGTCTTTTGTGGTGGTCACTAAACAGGAATCTAGAATTAGTTCCGGTTAGAGATGTGAACAATCTGAAAAGGAAATATTGAGTGCTTTCTTTCTTTTGGTCAAGAAGAAACCTCAGAATATGTTGTAAAACCTCAGAAAAATTCCAACTTGCAAACAGAATTCAAATCCCGTGTCCTACACTTTATAGCTAAATGCTTTTAAGTAATTGGTTAAAATTCGAGGGCCCCCTTTTCCAGGGAAACGGAGGCAGACTCTCCTTCTCAGCAGGGTTGTCAGGAGGCTCCTCCCACTTGGTAATACATGTGGAGGTATTTTGTAAGCTGTAAGTCTTCATGCAAATGTCAGGTAATACTAATAAGATTCTCCAGTAGGTATGTGAGTCAATTTGTATTTTTTGTTTTGTTTTGTTTTGTTTTTTTGAGACAGGGTCTCACTATCTAGTTGAGACTGCCCTGGAACTCACTACGTAGCCCACACTGATCTCGAACTCACAGCGATCCTTCTGCCTCAGCCTCCCGAGTGCTGGGATTACAGGCGTGTGCCACCACAGCCGGCTGTCAATTTGTAATTGCTTAGAAGGAAACTCCCACTGGACTGGTATGAGAAAAAGGATTTTAATCTCAGCTCCATTGCAAACATCTGTAAGCCCTTCCTTTTCTGAACCTCGGTTACTCCCTCCATGTTAACTGGGATCCACATGGGTGTCCATGGGATGGAATGCACAAGATACCTAGCATTTACAGGGTCTTAATAAAAGCTGTTATTAGCTAAACATTTTATCCTAATGGGTTAAAAACCTCAGCTTTAAATTCCAGTATATATCCTAAAATCATAGTCTCATGATTTGTTTAACACTTCTGCATTCAGTTTCCCCACCTGAAAATCAGGGATTTAAAAGAATATCTTTTGGTGGTGGGAGTGTTAATAAGTGAACGTGTGTGTGAAGCACTTAGTAGAGCACCTGGCTGGTAGGAAGTGCCCTTTAGATGATGCTCAGTATTTCACAGACATTTATTGTACTCACATTAGGGTCTCGAGGGAAATGGTACGCGGAGCAGTTCCTCACAGAGAAATCCACATAGTATTTGGTTCCATCCCCTCCTCTCTAAAACAGAAAGGATCAACAGGAACAGAAAAAGTAAGGGAAAAAGTAGTAGATACCTACTGTCCAAGACACTGTAAAACACTGGGAGGATTGCAACCACCAATATGTGCCATATTTCTTATGGTTTCTGCCTTTTATTTTCCGAGACATGGTCTCCCTATGTAGTTCAGGCTGGCCTTGAACTCACTGTGTAATGCAGGTTGGCCTTGGACTTGCAGCGATCCTTTTGCCTCATGAGGTTCTGACTTTCAAAAATGCATCACATTTAAAGAGCAAAATAAAAGACAAAGGAAACAAGGAGACAGATCTTTTGCAAATGGGAAGGGGACCAAGAGATGGAGGGTGAGGTAAGAGGGAGGGGAAGGGGGTGTAAAAAAATCAAGATGTGTCATGTACATGTATGAACTTCCCATAATGAATGCAATTGTAGATCATATACATGAGCTAATAAAAAATGTATTACACTGGCCAGGCAAGGGGGCCCATGTCTATAATTCCAGCACTCTGGGAAGCTGAGGCAGGAGGATTGTGAGTTGAAGCCCAGCCTGGACAATTTAATAAGTTTGCAAGACCCTATCTCAAAATTAAAAAAAAAATAAAATGAGTTAGACTTGTAGGTCAGTGTAAAGATCCTGGGCTCAAGCCCAGTGTCACAAACACAGAAATAATAGTAAAGGAAAAAAATAAAAGAAAAAAGCAAATGTCCTTTCTTTGAAAGGGTTCAGTATACAGACATAATCAAGCACAGTATAAAAAGATCATTCTTTCCACATCCCACCTGTTTGATGTGTTTCTTCTTCTAGCCTTTTCCTACTCATGTGGCCATAGGCAGCGAGATTGAAGCAGGCACATAAATGGCTTTATTGGTCACCATTGTTCTGCAACCTGCTGCCCACCTCCTTAGCATATCCTGAAACTCTTTCTGGTGTACATGTGTCTGAAACATCCTTTCTGATAACTGCACTGTGTTCACTCCACTGCTTGTATGTGCCAGCATTTATTTATTTTCAAGATGCAGGCAAACGTCAAACAGCTGCTCTACCAGGTAACTTTGGGTGGGCAGCCCTGGATCCTGGGACTGTTAAGTCGGAATCAGGTAACCCCCTGGACACACTGGGTGTGGTAAGGTTGCTTCTCTGGGCTTCAGTTTTCTTTCTTTTCCTATTTTTTTGAGGGGGTGGGGGTAGTGGGTGACCAGGCTTTTGCCATGTAGTTCGGACTGGCATTTACCCAAGCTAACCTCAAACGCATGGTGATCCTCCCACCTCGGCCTCCCGACTGCTGGGATTGTAGACATGTGGTGTCACGTCTTGCTAAAATTGCATGATTTTAAATAACTCCTATAACCCTAATACGCTCTTGTCCTTCCCTCTTTACTTTTTTTGGATTTTTTTCTCTTCTCAGCCAACTAGCCACTCCTCCCCCACCCCCACCCCAAAAAGGAAAAAAACAAAAAACAAAAAACTGCAGCGGAGTGGCTCTTTGGGACCTGCTGTCTGTCTGTCACAGTAGCTGCAAAGGCTGCGGCAGTTTAGAAGCCAGCGGATTGGTGGAGGAGGGTGCCGAGGGTGTGTCGCGCAGACCTACCGCCCTTATGACGCGCTCTACTCGGTCCACTCTGAAACCAGCAAAGGCACCGTTCACCCCTTTGTACTTGTCAAGGGCTTTGTCGGCTTGTTTTCTGTAGGGCTCGGTGTCTTCGAAGAAATCCAAGAGGACGGGGCTGTCTTTGGTGTTGCTCAGGGCTGAGGAGACTAGAGAGAAGATGCCGGGGTGTTGGTTACAAGGGAGAAGCAGTAACGCCAGCGTCAGAACTGGGGCGGTTCACCTCCGCATGGGAGCAAAAATAACAGTGATTTCCCTTAGCGGTGGGCAAACGGGTGGCAGAAGCAGGGTAACTTGTTTAAGAATTCCCGATCTTTCCCTCTGATCTGCTGAGGTCTTTATTGAGACGCCTATTCTCGACCCCCGCCCCCCCACCGCCCCCCCCGCACAAAGTGATAACATTTTCTTTGGATCTCTTAGCTTTTTTAGAAAACAGGATCTCCTTGTCACTTTTTGGCTGGCCTGGAATTTGAGGTCCTGCTCCCTCAGCCTCCTCAGTGCTGAGATTATAGGAAAGCACCACCTCGTTGGCTCTGGTGCTATTTAAATGAAATCTCTTTTTTTACGAAGAAGGGAGAGAGAACCCTGAACATTAAGTTTTGCCCAGAGAGAAAAAAATACAGCTCAACCTTGCTTTAAAGGAATCTGCAGAAATTGCTTGGCTTTTCGCTAGATTGAATCATATTGAAATTTGCGATTTTAAAAGGGATTCTGTGATAATGCTTGTTGGAAAAAGTAAATAAGAGGGGTATGGACTTCAAAGTCCAAAGTGTTGAGAAAAACTCATGTCTTCATTGCATATGGCTGTGTTCCCAAGGCCACATACCTGAACCTCTTCCAGCTTCAGTTATTTTATCCCTGAAATAGAAAATTTCAGAATCCTTCCTCCACAGCTGTGCAAGGTTAGATAATATAAACAATTTCTTCATAGACTGTGGAGTAATACATAACTTTTAAATGTGGAAGCTAATACTGAGTGCTAAGTACTTTGCATAATATGCTGCATAGACCATTTTATTTAACTCTTAACAAAAATCCTAAGAGCTATCATTATTAATTATTTTACAAATGAGTAAAAGCTGAAGGAAGTTAAATAACTTGCTCGCAAGACCGCAGAACTAGCAAGTGATAATGCTGAACTTGAAACTGAACCAAGTTGGCACCCAGAGCCTGTATCTACAGTGATGTTTACGTCTTTTTGTAAATCACTGTCTTGCTACACTGAATTTCTTTAAAGGGAGCTGTACCAGTAATAGGGGAGCTTATCTTCTTTATAGTCTCAGAAGAGTGAGTATGGTGGACACTGTGAGGACCAGGGACCTTTTCTGACATACATCATGATATTATATGACTGTTACTATCATACGATTGATTGAGTACTATATTGATCTGGAATTCATTAGCAATTTAATACCATACCAGAACTTGTGGTGCAGTTAAAGCCATTCACTGTGAGATCCTGAGATTCATTTGAATGTCTCGTAGCTATTACTTTACATTGTCCGATCACCTGTAAAAGAGAGGGTTTGACTCATGGAACACTGCCTTCCTTCATTGATGAGGTCATATAAGGGAACGTGCTCCTGCTGTCCATTTAAAAGGTATTTTGGGTTTCCTTCATCGAACCCTGTCTTGAAACCTGGACTTTCTTAGTCTGCTTCTACTCCAGGCACCAAAACCCCATCATGAGAGTGAGGGAGAAACGGGAGGAATGGATAGTGATCGTGACCATATCCTAAACATTTTCAGAAGAAAAAACACTAAGACTCCTAGGTATGTAAATCTCTCATTTTTGGGTGGAATAAAATTTTGTTTGCCTGTGCATATCAATGTTTGTGACCTCCATCAAAGGCAGAGAACCGGTATCCAGTTCCCACATCCTGCTTGTTCGGCAAGATCCTGCTCCCCACTCCAATGAATACTTTCGGCCATTCCTGCTAATAGGTTCAGCCTTCATGGGATTCATAAACCCATTGATGTTGAGGGCTGGAAAGGACCTTGCAGTTCATCTTCTCAAATCCCCTGTTCTTACAGAGGAGACTGAAGTCTAGGGATGGTGAGCTATTGGCCTAAGGACACCCAACCAGTCATGCTGTCCCAACAGACCCTGAGTCTTGCTGATGCATCCTGAACTGGGTTCCCAGGAATGGCTCTCAAGAGTGTTTTAGTCAAAGCCAACATAATAATCTTCATGAATCCCAAGGTGTGAGCTGCTCCTATTCTGAGTCAGCAGAGTAGGGGGAAAGGCACAAATGCTAAGAGGAGGGAAGTGGTACCTGGTTTACTTACTATGTCCGTTGGTCGTCTGCGATCAGGTAGCCCACAGTCATCTTGGTGTTTCCCGGCTAGGACCCAACAGTCAGATTCTTGCACGTCTAAGACTAAATAATACACAGTTGCCGGTCCCTGGGGATGTTAAGAAAGTAACAGGGAAGTAGGATGTGGAACATGCAGATTTCCCACACTTTTTTTGGGGGGGGTACCGGGGATCAAACTTGGGCTGTTGTGCTTGCGAGGCAGGCAACAGAACCACTGAGCCAAACCCCCAACCCCTCCACACTTTTTTAAAAATAAAAGCAATCTATTTCTTATGCAGAATTCCTGCTCTTGTCCAAATCTTTAAAACTTCCTACTTCTGTGTTATTTGATCTATTTATTTGAATAAATAACTTCAAATAGTTATTTTCCATGGTTCTTTTCAACTGGTCTTGATGTTTCTTCCACGCACAGGCTTTAGAAAGCAGTCACTAACTGGCAGTGTTGGTTGGGTGGAGGTGTTGGAGGTACAAGCCTAGAAATGTAAGTGGAGATAGCCCAGTCGCCATCTCAAATCTGTATTAGTAGCTGTGTCCTCTCACCCAGCTCTACTTTTGAATTTAAATTTCCTACCTTATCTCGACTTGCCAAAAGCCAATATACTTTTCTCTTACAAACCAGCTGCCTCTTCCAACTTCCCGGTCAGTGGCCATTAATTAATTAATCAGTCTTGGCTTCTGGCTTTTAACATGAAAATCAACTTGGATTTCTCCTTTGACTTGGCTCTGGCTATCTCTGAGATATGAGTGATCTTTCTTTTAAAATGTTCTCATTTTGATTCTTGGTTCCTCCTTCTCATTGCTTTAATTTCCATGACCTGAGCCTGCTCCCCATTTCCTCCTTCCTGAATATGACAGATTTCTACTTATGTCCCTGTCCCCTGCCTCCATCTCCCTAGCCATACCGTGTCCCCTCTGTCCACCCCACTAGTCTTCATGCTGCCATAAGAGGTAGCATTAGGATCATTCATTCTATGTGTGACGTACGTGGCACCAGATTGATGACGGTGAAATGGCCTGTCTAACCCTAAACTCCTCTATTCCTAGTCTCCACGTTCCGCAGCACCTTCCTCTCTAATGCTTTAGAAAGGGTGAATTGCTCAGCTTGTCCTCATAGTCCGTGGTCTGGCCTCCCTAATTTTAATTGTTCCACTACAGGGAAGGTAGAATATTATTTTTAGGGTGGAGATCTCAGTATTTCTCCACCACCTCTATCAGCCCATCACTCCAAATAAGTACGCAATCTAAGTGAAGACAGGACACTTGCTCGGCTTCCTAATTTCTCTTCCAACTTCACATTGTACTTCCAGAGCCCACACTGTACCTCTAGACCCCCCTCTGTTCATTCAGTTCCTCCATAGCACCCCACTTCCTGAGTCCCTACTCACCTAGAGGTAATGCGTGGAATTATCTGGAAAACCTTTCTCCACATGCTCTTTCTATTCAAATCTACCCACTGTTTACAACCCAACGGAAGCCTTCTCCCATTCAGACTTAATAGAGCTCCTTTCATTAAATTGTTCCAATAACTGTCCTACACATTTGATCAATGAATGTGACCTCTCTTACACTCTTTGCCTCTGCACATTAGCAGATTATTTTATCCACAGGGCAAGGCCTATGGCTGATTCTAGTGTTTCTCTCCCCACCACCATCCCATCTTACTATGTTGCCCAGTCTGGTCTTGAACTCCTAGGCTCAAGTGATTCTCCCACCAAGTGCTAGGACTATAGACCTGTGCCAACAAACCCAGTCTCTAATTTTTCTAAGTGCTTAGCATCCAACTGGGCTCAGGACAAATTAGAAGTTTTTGTTCCTAGTTAAGGGCACACCAATAATAAACACTAGTTGATCTTGGAGCAGCCAAAGAAACTAAATGGAAAGCCTGGATCAAAGCCATTGGCTGAGACAAACAACAGGCTTCAGGGCTAGAATCACATTCACCCAGGACATGGTCTCCCAACTCAGCTCTGCTAATGGCGATTTCTCACCGCTCTCTCCAAATGAGCATCAGCGACCCGCAGCAACTGGAAAAGATAGCCATTCCATCTCCCTTTATTGATCAGGTCTAGAGCTCTCTCAGCCACAGGCTCAGCAGCATTGCAGTCGGTGGGACTCAGGGCCCAGGAACACTGCAGTGTGATCAAAACCAGTGCTATAGCGATCGCCCTGCTCATACTGAGCCATTCTCTGCTATGGTCTCCCATAGCAGGGAATTTTACACAGATTTTCTGGAGCCTACACTCACACACACACTGATGGAGCAAATTCTTTATACATTTCTATTGTGTAACTGGGGATGTTCACCTTGACCCTGGGTTCAAACATCCATCAACAGGCTGTAAATGATTAGTGGATCCTGAGGCTACAAAGGTGAAGCACACACTGGTGAGTGGGTGAAACTGATAGGCACAAAGCTGGTTATTTCTAGTCCAAAGCAGATCCAAAGTGTGTCTTTGACCCTCAGAGCTGCCTATGTGTGGGGGGGGGCATTGGAGTAATTTTCTTCCATCTGCCTGTTTGACTCTCCTGGAAATCTCCAGCAGCCTCCTCTGTGGCTTATGGCATGAAAACTCAGCAGAATGCAATTGCATTATCTGAGGGAGGTCATGTGCTCAAAGGTGAACATCCTAATGGGAACTAATTAGCCATTACAGTGTCAACTCCAGCTACTCCAGAGGCCCAGGCAGGAAGCTCACAAGTTGGAAACTAGCCTGGGCAACTTAGCAAGACTCTGTCTCAAAATTGAAGATAAAAAGGGATAAGGAAATTGCTCAGTGATGGAATAATTTTGGGTTTGATTCTCAGTACCAGAAAAAGAAAAAAAAATCAAAAGAAGTTGACTTCAGGCAGAATTGATTCTTAGTTTCTTCATTCTAAATGCGAACTGGTACCTCTTGCAGGCTTGTGTGATATTAAATAAGGAAACATCCATAAAGCAACTGATAAAATTCTTGGCACAGTTCAGGCTCTGAATAAATGGTGCTATTTATTGTTCCCGGTTCGGGGAGGAATTGTGGGGTACTCCCACATCATCCCAGTACCCTGTGGCACTAAAAGCATGCCAGAAACACTTGACTGTGTGCAAGAGGATCATGGTAAGAACAGGAGTCAAGCAACTGGATGTCCATCTCCCTGGAAGTGGGGCTTAGCATGGGTATAGGGCTGGGACACAGACAACCTCCTTCCAAAAAAACCAATATTACTGGTGTGGATATTACTGCAGAAGCCAGCAGGTTCAGAAAGGACCAGAGGGAATCAGCCCAGGTTCATCCCAAAATAGGAACAAATAGCTCTTTGACAGTAGTGTCTCCTTTCTTCAAATTTTCTGTACAGTGAGGGTTTGTAGCTGTGGTTCTTGGCCTTGGCTTCATGTTAGAATGACCCAAGGGGTACCCAGGACTTTTCAGAACAATTCAATCAGAATCTCTACAGTGGAGCCAGCTACTGGTAGTTTTGAAATTCCTAGGTAATTTCAATGTGTGATCAAGATTGAGAACCACTGGGGACTCCAGAGAGAACTGTAAGGGGTGTGGGGGGGTGATTTAAGGAGAGAAAGAAGAGATAATTATATGAAAAACAGATCCCACTTCCAAGGGTCACTGGTTGGTTTAGTGACTGCTCAAAATGGAACATGTTTAAAATAATGTTTGACATTAAATTTTTAGTATCAGCAACACTGGATTTCAAATATCCAAATAGGATCACTCCAGTGTAAGTCAGAATGACAGGAACAGTAAGGAATCTGCTCAAGGTATTGTTAAGAAGCTTCAACCCAATGGTGCAGAGCAACACTACTGATTAAAACAAAAATTGTTTTATGTTTCAATAAGTTGAAATCCTCAATTATACCTTTCCGTTACTGGTATTGTTAGGCCTCACCCAATTTGCAGTACCTGGATGAACCAAGTACTGGAATAGGTGAAGGACAATGCAAGAGGTAGCACCAAAGAGGGGAATGTTCCTTGCCCACCGTACCATTGTCATGCCAAGATTTGGGGGTACCTTTGAGATCTGTGCATCCTCTTTTCCTTGCTGTACTGAGTCTTAAAGAAAGACAAGGGCTAAGGATGCCATTTCAGAAATGGAGTAGCTTCAGGTAAGAAGGTCCAGGTAGTTAGAGACAAGAGGATGGTGGTGGTAGGAAGGAAGTAGGACAGACAGTAAGTAGGAGAAATCTTCTGTCTAATGCTAAGCTGTGATATTTGGCTTTGGGGAAGATTCCTGGACATCCTGGAACCAGAGAATGCCCTCAGATGGGACATATGGAGTGGAAGCTTTTCACAAGGTGGTTTATGGGGCAGACTGGAGGAGACAGATCTTCACTTCTCCAGTCTCATCAGACACTCAGGTACTTTCTGATGTCTTGACCATGTTATCAGAAAAGCTCAGCAAAAAGAATTTTTATTCTTCAAATTTCATTTACTCACAATAGAGTACATTCTCTTTGTAAAAACTGTAGACAAATGTAAATAAAATCCTCCTCTGATTATACCACCTCGAGAAAAATTAACTAGTTTCTTCATAACTGAATATATATATCATATATGTTTTGCATCACTGGAATTATTCTATTAGATACAAGTGTTTTATTTTCTTCACTGTTATTTATTTACTTATGACTTCTATTAATAACAACCATGTAAGCTTTAAAATGTTTTTGGTTTTTTAAAGGGTTTAAAATTTTGAGTTATTTTAATCATGTAACTTTTAGTCATTCACATAAACCCTGTACAAAATAGAACAAAGAGAATATGACAGATTATTATAAAAATTGGGTCTGTCTCTGCTCACCCCCCAACCCTACTCCAAAGGAAGAGCTTTTAATAGTCCCTGTTCTATATGGCATAAACATCTTCTTTTCCCTTAAGGTTGTACTGTGAAGACTTTCCCAGATCATTAAATATTCTTCTAAGGAATGAGAATGTAGTTCAGGGGTAGAGCACTTGCTTAGCAGGCATGAAGCCCTGAATTTGATCCCCAGCACTGCTGAGAAAAAAAAATATTCTTCAGAAAGATTATTTTCAGCAGTTATGTGATATCACATGTTATATGTGTATTGATGTATTTAATGTCCATCCATTTGGAGACATGTATGTTGTTTCCAGTTATTTGTTTTTATAGGTAATACTACAGTAGATATCCTTATAAAGCACTGATTTCTGGAGGGGGGAACCACTGGATTAATTCGTAGAATTATATAGGGTTCTGGGGGTTGTTGTTATTGTTATTGTAGTTGTTGTCAGTAGTATGTTTCACTTTGGGTTTGAGTTTGTTTTTTTACAAAGAAGAATCAGTTGTTATCATTGTTTTTATTTGCACTGGGAATTGAACTTATGCTTGCCATGAGCTGCACCACTGAGCTACATCCGCAGCAGAAGAGTCAGTTTTTGTCAGGCAAGTATATCTAGTATCCAGTATATCTACTTTGATTTTTTTAAAATCAGACATTATTTTTTAAAGCAGATCAGGTTCATGGCAAAATTTAATGGAGAGGACACAGAGTTCCTCTGTCCTCCCTACTTCCTGCCCACACTTACAGCAAACATTTGAACCCAGAGAGGCAAATTTACCATGATCAAATTTATAATGATATGTTATCACAGAAAGTTCACAGTTTCAGTAGGGTCCACTTCAATCATTAGAGTACATCCTGTGGATTTTGGCAGAGGTGTAATGACATGCATGTCTCCACCATCAAAGTGTCACATGGAGTAAAGTCATCTTTGCTCCCATTGTTACCCCACCCTCCCCTCTAACCTCTGGCAACCACTGAAGTTTTCATTACCTTTATAGTTTTGTTGGCACTTAGCCTAGGGTTCTTTTATTCAATTCACATGCTTAAGGAAGTGTGAAGAGTGAGCAAGGATCAGCATTGCCTGTTGCTTGAAAGAGGCTAAGCAAACATGGACACAGGTGCTTCAGGGAGATCTTTAGGCAACACCCAGTCATGGGACTATGGGAAAGAGAACTCACTTCACAGCAAGCTGATGGATGAACAGGGGTTACAGAAGAGGCAAGCATGGCCATAACTACTTTTTCAAGAATTTAGTCAGAGGAAGAGAAAGGAGCTACTAGTTAGAGGAAGCCGGAAAGACTAGAGTCCCTCCCGACCCTTCCTTCAGGGCAGGAGGATGTTACAGAGCAACTTTGGGGAAAGCCCCTACTTAGGGCTTATAATGGTCTTTCTTTGATTGGGCCCATATTGGCCTCTGACTTTTATGCCTGGTCCTGTGTCACAAGCTGCCTTCCAGGATCAATGAACCCAGGGTCCCTCACTGGCTGGTTTTCACAGAGCCAACAGGAGGAGAAGACTGGAAGGGGTGGGGGGAGCGGGGGTGTCTTAGTTACTTTTCTCATTGCTGAGACAAAATACCCATCCAAAGTAAAAGGAGGAAAGGTTTATCTCAGATCACAGTTTGTAGAGATTTCTGCCCATAATTAGATGGCTGCAAGCAGAGGGGAAGAGAAACAGTCCATGGTGGGCAGAAGGCAGAAAGAGCAGCAAGCAGCAAGCTTCAACAGCAGCAGCCCTCTTTCTGTCCCTTATATCTTTTTCAGGCCACCCAACATTAAGGTAGGTAGCATTCACACCCAGAGTGGAGCAGCCTTAATCCTAGCATTGCACCTTGAATCAACCCCAGTATCATACACCCTAGATCCAGCCTCCTCTGAAAAGCCTCACCTATGACCATGTGAGGCTTTGAGGGATATCAAGATAGCAGCCATAAGAGGAGGAGAGGGCAGGTGGTTGTCTAGAGTTCCTTCCCACACCTTCATCCTGCCACCAAGGTGGCTCCAACACTTCTCCCCCAGCTCCAGCTCCCTCTGGACATAGGAAGCCAATGCTTCTCCACCAGCCTACCATGGAAAAGGCTCCAGGTGCTTCAGCATTACTTCCTTCCCTTCACCTGGCCTAAAGTTTTCACTAAAGGTACTCTGGATGACATCTTTCTAGTTGATTCATCTGAGTGCTGTTCTACCTCCCATCAGATGTGGACTGAAATTGGGTTTAAGAACAGACACAGTCATTTATGGGTAGTAGGTAAGAGTAATGGAATGTTGGAATTTTCTCTTCTCCCATGTAAATTATTCCAAGGCTGATGTGCTTCTCCTAAGACATGGCCAGGATGGGGCACAATCTGCAAATTCTGTCAAAACATCAAAAGCCCATGCACATGTGTGTGTGTGTGTGTGTGTGTGTGTGTGTGTGTGGTGCACAAACATGCCTGCTTGATATATACTTCATGGTTTTGGTTTTTTATTGTTGTTTGTTTGTTTGTTTTGGTACCGGGTATCCAACTCGGGTCCTTGCACTTGCAAGGCAAGCAGCAGAAACTCTGAGCTAAATCCCCAGCCCTCTCGTGGTTATTTTTTTTAAATTTTTTTCAGTGAAGTCTCTGGGTATTGAACCCAGGGCCTTCACACTGAGCTATATTCTCAGCTTCTTTCCTATTTTTAAAATTGATACAAGGTCTCCTTAAGTCCCTATGCTGACCAGCTGCAACTTTTGATCCTCCTGTCTCAGCCTCCTAGAGGACTTGGATTGCAAGCATGTGCCACCACACCTGGCTGCCCTGTTTTTTAACCAGAGGTAAAGAAGAGTGTGATCAAATGTCATGATGGATCCCCCTGTGTCTGTCCCAAGGTAGCCTGCAACACTGAGGACCCCATGGGCTGGTGTTCACACAGGGCCTGGCACAGGCCACAGGCACTCTCCACTTCCCCGTGGCCCAGAGTCCAACAGGCAGATAAAAAGGCAGGGGTGGGTGGGGTCCAGAGGACGACTCTACTGACCCTCAGTTTCTCACAGATCTTGAAAAAGGGGAAATGTCTTTAATATGAGATCCGAGCAAACATATACTCTGAAAGGATAAAGATCTTTAAAAGTGAGAAGCAGAAGACATTGAGGCATGGGAAGAGGCACTTTGGAGGGGTGCAGCCTCATGTCCACATGAAGCCTGAGAACAGTCAAATAGACTCTACGTCCCTCTGTCCTGTCCACACCACATCTCATCTTCTGCAGGACACCACCCATGGGACGTTCTCTGTGATTCTCAAGGAGGGAGGACAAGAGGGTTGGTCACCTGAGCAGGCCCTGGGCACTTCGCAGAGTGCTGTTCTTTGGGGAAAGGCAGGACAACAAGCTTCTCTTGCTGGGAGCCCAGGATATGCAGGGTGTCTCCCTGGGCATTGGTAGTTAGATCCAGCTGCACTGGGAAGGCCTCCTGAGGGTCCTTTTCTCGGGGACCTTGAAGTTTCTCATCATTCAGGTCAGGGAGGTGTTGGATGGATCTCATTGGTGTAGTTTTGATGGGGAAGCTGGAAGAGGTTGTGTTTTCCTGCAAGGGCTGTTCCACCCTGAAGAGACTCCCAGAGCTTTGGTTAACAGCAGAGTTTTCACCTCCAGGGGTCTGGACCTGAAACAAGAGTGTTTTTGAATGTAGTCTGTGTGCCCAGCAGTGAGAAAAGCAGGCACCCGTTAATCCAGATCCTCTCATTCCTTTCTCTTCAGGGATCCAAAGGTGGGTGTTGCAGTCCTGCCTCAGATGGGCAGGTAAGTGCCAAAGCCCACACAGCTCACAGGGCAGAGCAGGAATGGAGTGCAGGTGGGGGTCCAGGCTGTCTCATAGTAAGTGCTCAATAAATATTTCTGGAGAGGGATTGAATATTTTCATGGAAATGGCTTCTCTCTGAGGTTTGGGTAGGTATCTTTGGAATACTAAATTTAATACCTCAGAGGTTCCCTGGCTCTGAGCATGTCTTTGTTATTCTGTGGGACCACAATGTGACTAAAAGAAAGTATGACAAGTGTCTGACCAGCTACCATGTGTGTGTGTGTGACCTTAGAGTAGTTCTAGTAAAGTGATGGTCATGGATCTGGAGAAAATCAAAAGGGCAGGGCAGCTAAAAAGAGATAATCTTCTCTTTCCTCCAAAGGGTGACAATCAGAATGAAAAATACCTGCGACATGAAGAAGTCACAAGTTGCAAAGACAAACTTTTCTGTGCGAGCTCGAGTCAGAGAACCTTGGCAAAGACCAACAGGCTACAAAAGAAAATACAAAGTCATATGAGTAAAAAGATGATGGATCAAATGGAGATCAAGCTGCTTCCTGCTTGTGTGGATACATGGCCAGCCAAGGTTTTGATCATACCTTGTGATAGGTGGGCTTGGGGCCACTTTTCTCTAAATTACCTCTACCAAGAAATAACACAAAGTAGGCTACATTGTTTCCACTGATGGAAAACAGCATTTCCTGAAGAACAAAATTCTGATTATTGGAAAGTTCTTTGTATTGAGCAGAAAACTATATATATTTTTTGTTTGTTTGTTTATTTGTTTGTTTTTGTTTTTTTGAGACAGGGTCTCACTATGTAGTGAGACTGACCTGGAACTCACTATGTAGCTCAGGCTGGTCTCGAACTCACAGCAATCCTACTGTCCCAGCCTCCCAAGTGCTGGGATTATAGGTGTGCGCCACCACGCCTGGCCAGAAAACTATATTTATAAAATGTTTACCCCTTGGTTTAATTCTACTCTTGGGTCAATCAAAAACTTGCTTTTGTTTGTATATACCATAGCAGCTCCTAAAGTATGTTCCACCTGAGATTTTTACTTCTCAGAAAAAAAACCACCCTCGGTTCCATCAATTTTTCTTTACAATAACCTTGTTTTCTTACCACAAATGCAGAAAGTAGTCATTTAGGAAAATATAGACAAACAAAAAGAAAATAAGACTTGGAATTGCATGAAAAGTACATTACCTGCATGATTTAATTTCTTCCAGTTTTTTCTATGTATATATATTTTTTCTTTTACAAAACAGGATTATATTACACATATTACTTCTCCCCATTTTGTCACTGAATAGTATATTGCAAAAATCCTTTTATGGTACTGGACAGTATTATATAATTACCTTTATAATGGCTACTTAGTATCCCTCTGTATTATGTAACAAGCTATCTTTTGTTAGATAATTAGATTGAATCTATTCTCTTTGCTTAAAAGCTAAAGCTATATCTTTTCACATATCTCTAGTTATATCTTTAGAGTAAATTCCTACAAGAGGAAATTTAGAGCCACAGAGTATGCACATTTTCAAGTGTAAAGATAATATTATAGTAGAATATTTGCTCAATTTCTAAAGAAGTCTGAGGTAGCCACATAAATTTACTAAAATATGTCTAGGCAGATTGCCTGAACATCACTCTATTATCCATCTCCAATAGAAGACTAGAAATGAAGGGAAGACTAGAAATTTTGAAGGTGTCAAACTCCAGTGAAGTATGAAGTCCTCAAAACCTCCCCCTCCTCTTGGTCAGCAAGTCACTAAGTGAACCTTCTGGAGAGACTTCAGGTACCTGGACTGAGGACAGCCTGGCCACTCCCATTCTGGCTAGAATTCACTGGCCTATCTGGTGTCAGCTGGGGCGGAGTGCAAGAGAATCTTCAGAGCCTTAACAGGTGAACCCATACGGCCATATGTGGCAGCCGTATTGGGAAGAAAGAAGTAAAAACTGTCTCTGTTCACAGATAGCGTGACCTATCTATAAAACATAATTCGAAAACTGCTAGAGCTAATAAATGAGTTTAACACAGTTATAGGATTATGAAGTCAACATAAAAGAATCAGTTGTATGTTCTATTCTCTTGCAATGAATAATCTGCAATTTAAAAGCAGGGATGCTTATTTTGGCTCACAGCCTTCAGATTATTCAGTCCATGGTTGGTTGGCTTCAACGCATGGCAGAGAAAAGCTGCTCACCTCATAGCATCCAAAAAGCAGAACCCGAGGACAAGAGCCATGGAGTGAGACAAAGCCTCCAAGAGCACAGTATCAGGGACACGGCCTCCTCCAACCAGGCCCCACCTCCAAACAGTGCATTTAACTACGAACACATCAGTGGATCAACCCACGGATGAGTGCAGTGCCCCTCGTGGCCCAGTCACCTTCCCAAAGCCCCACCACTGAATATATGAGACTTTTAGGGGAAATTTCAGATCTAAAATGTAACAGACTTGTAGCCTTGTAGTAAGTTTTGAGATTGGGAACTGGGAGTCCTACCTGGCTCAACTTGTCCGAGACTGTGTTAGGTACTCTGGACCTCTTGCCTTTGCATATACAGAAATCCTAGACCTTGAATTAAGCGATGATTTCTTACATGTGACACTAAAGGCACATTCAAAGAAGAAAAATATATAAATAGGATATTATTCAAATTTAATGCTTTGGCACTGCCCGGAATATCATCAAGAAAGTGAATAAATAAGAGAATGAAAGACACTACTTTAAAATTGTGTGTGTGATAAGGTTATTTCATTGGAAATATATAAAGAACTCTTAGAATTCAACAATTTGAAGATAAGCAATCCAGCTGGATGTGGTGGCACAATCTGCAACCCTAGCACTTGGGAGGCTGAGATAGGAGCTCACAAGTTCAAGACCAAGGGCTGGAGATTTAGCTCAGTGGTTCTACTGTCTGCCTCGCAAGCACAAGGCCCCAAATTCCATCCCCAGCACCAAAAAACAAAAAGGTTCAAGGCCAACCTGGGCTACATAATGAGTTCCAAGCCTTCCTATACTGCATAGCAAGACTCTGTCTCAAAAGATGATAAGTAGCCTAATTTTTAAATGGGTAAAGGATATGTATAAACATTTCCTAAAGAAGATATATAAATGGCCAATAGAGTGATTATTAAGAATAATATTAAGTGATGCTCAACACTACTAGCTATTAAGAAAATGAAACTATGCCAGGCGTGGTGGTGCATGCCCGTAATCCCAGCACTCGGGAGGCTGAGGCAGGAGGATCGCTGTGAGTTTGAAACCAGCCTGGGCTACAATACATAGTGAGTTCCAGGTCAGTCTCAACTATACAGTGAGACCCTGTCCCCAAACCACCCTCCCAAAAAAAGAGAGAGAAAATGAAAATAAAAGAGATATCAATTCATTCCCAGTAGGATGACTATGAACAAGAAGAAAAAGAAAAAGAAATATTGGCAAAGATGTGGAAAACTGAAGCCCTCAAACTCTGACAATCGGATTGTGAAACTGGCATTGTCACTTTGAAAACCACTACAGCACTTAGTCAAAGGGTTAAACATAGGGTTCTCATAAGACCCAGCAGTCCCATTCCAACACACATACCCCCGAGAAAAGAAAGCCTATGTTTTTACACAGAAACTCGGACACTCGGAATGGCAGGAAGTAGCCAAAACATCTATCAGCCAGTGAGTGGACAGATAATAAGCAATGTCCATACAGTGAAATATCATTGGGCCACATGCAGATGTAGGAACCTCGAAAGCATACATACTAAGGGAAGAATCCAGACATAAAAAAGTACTGGGGGCCGGGCGTGGTGGCGCACGCCTATAATCCCAGCACTCAGGAGGCTGAAGCAGAAGAATCGCTGTGAGTTCGAGACCAGCCTGGGCTACACAGTGCGTTCCAGGTCAGTCTCAACTACGTAGTGAGACCCTGTCTCAAAAAGTCAAAAAAAAAGAAAAGAAAAAAAAAGTACTGAGTTGGGGAGAAGGTAGAAGAAGACAGACAGGCATGACCAAAGCACACAGTATGCACGCGTGGACATACCACAGCGAATCACTGATGTGCACAAATAATAAATGCAATAAGAAAAACAAACCTAAGAAGCGATTGCTGTAATCAGCGTTGATCACCACATCACCACTCACTGTTAGTACGGCGGAGCTGATTTAACCATTTCCATTTTTCACGTAAATGTAAATCTTTTCTCACACTCACGTATAAACAGACCATGCACCGAATGATTCCATTTGTGAGAAATGTCCAGACTGGACAGAGTCACAGTAACAGAAAGTATATCAGCAGCTTGCAGTGGATGGCAAGGGGCAAAAATGGGAAACGACTGTCCAGGGGCATGGGCTTTCTCTCTGGAGCTGATGAAAAGATTCTAAAATAATAAAAAAGTAGGGGTGACACAACTTTGAACATACCCAAAACCACGGAATCATACATTTTAGAAGGCTAAATTTTACTGTGCATGATTTTTTTTTTTTTTTGTACCAGGTATCGAACTCAGGTCCTTGCACTGGCGAGGCAGGCAGCAGATCCACTGAGCTAAATCCCTGGCCACGTGATGTATTTTTTTAAGACAGGGTCTAACTCCGTGGTCCAGGCTGGTCTTAGGTTCATGGTGACTCTCGTGCCTCAGCCTCCCAAGTGGAGGGATTACAGGTGTACGCCGCTACACCAAGCTCAATGTGAATTATATCTTACTAAGCTGCTGCTATAAGTAGAAGAGGAGAAAATACTCCTGATGCATTTTTTTTCCACTTGTGCTCCAGGTGTGCCATTCCGACACAGGGCATTTCCAGCGCCCTTTCCGCCATAATTGCTTTGTTTGACTTTTCTATTTGACTTAATCTTTAGTGGCCCTAAGAAAGCTGATGCTGTATTTCCAATGTAACTGAGCTTGTTCAGATCGAAACAGGGTCATTATAAACCAGTGAGGAGATTTCTTTATATTTTATAGCCCACTCTAACCACTTTTGTAATCGGAGAACATTGAGGATGAAAATCACATTTGCAGTTAATAAAGCCCCTTATTACTACACCTGGGCCTGCCTACTTTCTAACTAGTCTTTCTGAGGGCAGGAAAAGTATCTTATGTATGAGATGTGATTTTTTTAAAAGTACAATGACTATTTTTTTTTAATTGATTATGGTACGCCACCTGCTTCGCAAGTGCAAGGACCCGAGTTCGATACCTGGTACCAAAAAAATTTTTTTTGATTACAGTAAAAGACACATTGCCATTAACCCCCTTCAAAATATTCTTCCTCACTTCAGCTCGCTTCAAACACACTTATTCCACCGTCCTTTCCACTTTCTGAAGCAGTTCTGGAAGTCTTTCTTGAATGTCCTGCACTATTGTGAATGTTCTGATGTCCTGAATCAATTCAAAATGTTTACCTTTCATGGTCAGTTTGTCTCCAGGGAAGAGCTAGAAGTTGCACGGTACCAGGCCCATGAATAAGGTGTACAGGGACACACTGCAATGTTTTTACAAGGCTGCCTTTTGGTCGAGTGCACAGCATTCACTGTATTTGGGGGGGGGGGAGTCCCAGGAATCGAACTCAGGACCTTGCGCCTTCGAGGCAGGCAATGACACCACTGAGCTAAATCCCTGGTCCATCCCTGTATTTTTTATCATACCTTGCAATGACACTCACAAAAGAGAACTTCCAGAACTGCTTCAGAAAGTGGCAAGAGCCATGGTGTAAGTGGCAAGAAAGATGGCATAAGGTTGCCTGAAGCAAGAGGAAGCATTTTGGGGAGTGGAGATTAATGGCAAAGTGTTTTAAAATTTTTTTTAAACATTCACCATATATTTTTATCATACCTCATATAATTTGTGCTTACCAGACACAGTCTGTGGACACACATCTTAAATTAAGACATCCGGGAACACTCACCATGGAGTCAGAGGACCGGAGTGAGCAGCTGCTGGCCTGGGGTTTGGTACACGGTGACTCCTTGATTAAATATTCCACAAAGTAAGCAGGGCCAAACACCCACTGTTATGAGACAAGAGTGGAGACATGGAAATGAAACCCCCGGCGTAGGAAACAGACACGGGTTTAGCAGCATTATTTTCCGGAAGTGACAATCCTCAGAGGCCTTGCCAACAGCCACACCCACTGTCCCTGCAAGGCCTCACATGCATGAGTCATGTAGTGTAATTTTGTTATTTAGAAAACACAACTGCCACACCTTTCTTGTTTTCTTTTTTCTTTTTTATCTGGTAGCGGGGTTCAAACTCAGGACCTTGCCCTTGAGAGGCAGGTGTGGTGCCACTGAGCTAAATCCCCAGCCCACCTTTCTTGTTTTCTTGAGGATTTGAAGAGGCCGTAAACATTTTTCCCTTGCTGAGTTTATTTTTGCCACATGTAGATTTGTCTTTTAGATTATTTTCATATGAAATAGCAACATAATCCAAACACAAATGAGTTTCCACTTCCCCTAGTCCACACAATGCATCCTCTACCCCAGGCATTACTCTGGAGTAAAAGCTGTCTTGCTAAATGCTTCATCATTGGACAAACATGAGCATGTAGCAATAATGAACAAAATCTCCCAGTGAGATTATGAATCTCTTTCTCTCTTGCCTTAAGGCTGACAAAGTAAAATGGACTCACACAGCTCCCGTAAAGTTCTGTGGAATGAGAGAAACTGCAATATGATTGTGCGTGTCAGGTCCACCAGAACCGAGCATTAGAGAACAGCTCTCAGGTTCCCCATTTAGGAATCTACAGCAGCAGCCATGAGATGCACTGTTTGTGTCACTAACCTTTGCCTTTTAGCCTTACCTGGCTAGAAGCCCTGGTGATTTTGTCAAGAGAATACTGCTTCGAGGTGCTTTTACTGTTGTATTCCGCAAGAGATTCAGTGGCGGCTTCCAAAACCCGGGGATCTGACAAGTCAGTGGAGGTAGGACTCGGGCAGTCAGGGCACATATCATAAATCTTTCTTCTGGAAACTGTTGGTGCCAGTGAGAGCAGTTTAAAAATACTACTGATTTTCAATCCCATAAACAATCACAAATCACATGACTACAGCACAGGCAAAACTTTCATAAGATGCCTTGTAAGAGGAAGCTCCTGAGTTTGAACCCCAGTACCAAAAACAAAGCCAAACAACAACAACAACAAAAACTTTCATATGAAAGATAATAGTGTTGGCAAGAACAGAATGAGAAAAATATTTCCTGGAAAAGAAGTTAGCTGTCGAGTAAATTTTCTATAATGAGCTGTATTATTGGATAATCAAAAAATTAAAAAAGAAATCAAAGCAAGATAGTTTCTACCTCATATAAATCCATTTACTTTGGGAATTTCATTCAAAGATCTATAATATAGCATATTGACATGAGATAGCCTCGTAAAAAAGTTCAGTGTCTTTCTTATCATTGTCTCTTAAAATAAATTGAGTGCCTTTGTCTTAGTCCTGAACACCTAGCGTAATATCTAACCCAAAGTGAGTGTTTTATAAATGCTTATAGAATAAACAGATGACATAATGAAAGGTAGGTGCACGCCCTCTTTGGTTAGAAAATGTAAATGAGCTGGAAAACAAAATCGGTCAAGTCACCATGGGACTTGATAGAATGATCACATGACTCATACAAAGCACAGTTTCTATTGGAGAAAGGTGGCGGATGGCAAATCCAGGGTGAAAGTCAGGCTAGGGCATTTTTCTTGAGATTGACTTTGCAGAGAAAAATACACTGTTTTGATTAATTGTATATGTGGGGACTGAGGGAGATGACGAGGGAGTGACATCCACGGCTTGCCACTCCAACACACGTCACTTCCTGGCCCTTCTGACTCGGATAACTATGACTGCCGTGAAAGTACTGAGACTACTTACTAGTTGTTGTTCTCTAACTCATGTTAGGTAAGTCTTGTGTTCACACCAGAAACTTTAAGCTATGGCTAATACAATGCTGGTTCTGTGCTCACAGGAGCCAGCAGCTCTGCTGTCACCGGGAGCATGTGTGAAATGCGTGATCTCTGGTCCTGCCCAGGCTACGTCGTGAGAACCTACACTTTAACAAGATCCTTAAGTGGAGTCACACTTATATAGTAGTTTGGTAAGTAGTCATCTCCTGTGTGCTCACACTATGGATGCTTGCTTTCCATGAAATTTCCCTTGTTAAAAAGAGGATCAAGAATGGATACATGTGCATATTGCAAATGTCGTTAGTTTCAGTTTCATTCTCTGCCCATTTTTCTTTTATCCAACAATACTGATAAGCTCAAGCTTGGTAGGAACTAATGAGGGTGTGGCAGGGAGAAGGAGAGATAAAATATTCTACATGGCAGATGATATAAGACGCCACACCAAATTATGGCATGAACAGAAGATTTGGATAATTCCACTGAGAAAATGGGAGCTGGAATTAAAGAGCTTCGGGAGAGAATGGATCATTGGTAAAATATGGGAAAAGAACACGTGGATGTTGTAAACCAGGATACAAAAGAACTGGAAAAGATGACAAATCAACAAGGCACGTTATTGAAGAAGAAAGTATGAGAAAATTCCAGAACTTGGATCACTTCTCCAGGAAGCATTCGACACTGAGTCTCCAGCAGTTGTTTCAAAAACTTGAACAGTGTAACACGGAATTAAAGAAGTATGTTAATAAAAGGTGTTAGATCAGTTTGTGAACTTCTCTGAGCAGAGAGAAAAGTAAATAAAGCCACAAGAAGAGCTTGATAGGGGGTACAAATCGATCGTGGAACTCATGAATGTACTTGAACTTCAAAAATATGAAGCTATTCAGTTGACTTTCAAACAGGTATCCAAGGACTTTAGAGAAGTGCTCCAGAAGTCGGTACCTGGCAGCAAAGCTGCTATGATGGTGAAGACAGGAGATGTGGGGGCAGGGGGAGCAGGGAGTCAGCCTCGGGATGAAGGAGAAGGAAGTGGTGAAAGAAAGGGGGTGTTCTGGGTCACAGAGCAGTGTCCCCTCCGTTGACAAGTTCACCAGAGTCGGAGTTAGAGTGTCATTTGCAGGAGAACGAGGTGAAGGCAGAGAAATGCAACAGCTTTCAGGTGGACAGAAATCCTCCGTGGCCCTTGCTCTGATATTTGCTGTTCAGAAACGTGATCCAGTCCCTTTTTATCTGTTGGACGAGAGAGACCGAGCTCTGGATGCTCAACACAGGAAAAGCAGCATCAGATATGATTCTGGAACTTGCCGTATGCGCTCAGTTTATTACAACTACCATTAGCCCTGAACTGCTTGAGTCAGCCAATGAATTCTATGGTGCAAAGTTCAGAAATCAGGCTCGTCATATTGTGTGATCACAGCCGAGATGACCAAAAACTTTACAGAAGACAATATCACATGAGGTTAATTTAAAAATACGCCTGCTGTTTGGGAAGATTTGTACAGTAACGTGACTCTCATACCCAGGAACTGTAAACTTAAACCTAAGTATGTGGTCATCATTAATAACTGTCAGACTTTGGAGTACACAGAATCCTTTTTTATTTTTGTCTTTGTATCTTGTGTGCTGTGTAATGTTATGTTTCTACTTATAGTTTAACAATTTATTTATTTTATTTATAAAGTGTCCCACTCCTCCTTTAAATCCTTTGGAACATTCTACGTATTCTTTCCTTAATTTTTATCAGTTATACAACCTCTTTTTGTACAGCTCCAAATAAATAACAGGTTTTATGGCTTAAAAAAAAAAAGACTCCACATCAAAGCAGTGAGTGCATGGCCTGTGCTCCGTGAGTGGTTTAGCCAAAGCTTTTTTTGTACTGGAGATCGAACTCAGGACTTTGCACTTGTGAGGCAGGCAGTGGAACCACTGAGATAAATTCTTGGCTCTGGTTTAGCCAAAGTTTGTAGGAATGCATAGCAGGAGAGCATCATTCCTTTCTTGAACACACAACACTGTAGAAGAAACAATATGGTAACATCCCTTAAAGAAGAGGCACAAGATCCAAGGGTAGAGGCCATCATCATTGGAGGGAGGAGCACAAGCAAGATCCAGAGTTCAGAGAGCACAGTGTGTGTTCAAACTTTGGATGGAACAGCAGGTTAGCTAGAAAGGAGTCCAACCACCAATTGCAGAGCCTGTGCCATTTATGTAGGCCTGAGAATGTAGGATCTGATGCAGGACACACATGTAGAAGTAAGAGGGAGACTAAAAATGAATGTAAGTTAAAATTTAGTAGGAAGGCAAGTACTGGAAGTATTAAGCAACCAGTTCCAGGATGAATAAAAAGTAAGGATGTGAGAAACACTATACCCTCTTGACGAACTTCTGGTTCAATGCCTTTTTAAATCTTGTATTAACATTAACAAAATCATCACAATCTCTTACCTGGGCGAAGAGTACAGTTATAAGCAGGTAAATAGATAATTCTTTTTGGCTTGTCATAGTAAAATATTGCTTTGCATTGACCATAAACCTGTAACCAACAAATACATTTTATGACATGGGGGGTGAAAGTTGCAGATTTTGTTTTAAAGTAATGGGAAATGTAAAATCAAATTCTGTGGTCGGAGGTGGGAAGAACTGCAGCGGATCTGTTTAACCTTTCCCTGGGGCACTTCCTCATCTCCCTCACAACTATGTGTGGAGAACTGAGTTCTCACCACAGGAAGGTGAGTACAGGAAGTGATGTCTACCACTTCCGCCTTGGCATGCTGCCTATTCTCCATGTTCTTTCTCTTTCATAGCTTGATCTAAGCGAACAAACAGAATGTGACCACAGGAACCATAAGTGGAATATGGCACAGTCTGAGTCACAGCACGGGAGGAACCCGAGTCTTTCCATCAACCATGGAGTAAAATGCCCTCGCAATCAGGAACGTCTATATATTTTTTTAAACTTTTATCTTATTTTATCCCATTTCCCCCCCCTCAGGAATGTCTATTGTGAACTCTGTGTGAATGGGAAATAAGCTGCTGCCACATTTGAGTTGGTATGCACCTGTCAGTGTGTGTGTCACACTGTTCAGTGTCACCATAGCAGAGTTATAACAGCAGGGTGAGCACACTCTGCTTTCCAAAAATGACGCACAGTTGACTAACTTGGTTAAATAATTAGGAAAGATAACTCAATCACCAAGTTAACATGGAAACGCCTACATCATTATCCTGTGCTCACGATATGCAGTTCATATCAGTGAGTGGAAATCTCCCGGGACAACTGAAATCAAAAGAAAAGTGACTCTTTTCAAGTGCCTTCAGTGGCCATCTTTGAAAGGATGGCTTCTGAGGACTTTAGCTCTATAATTGTAGGAAATCCACCCCATCAGCCATCAATTTTTTAAAGCCTAAACCTCCTATTGAAACAGAGCAAAGCAAAATGAAACAAATGTAAAGTGCTCTCCTTCCATTGTTTCTGCTTTCTACCTTAATTCCACACACCCAGAATCTTCGCTTTGGGTATTTTTTTTCCCCTCACAATTTAAAGGCTGGTTCAGAGAGTGGAGGTAGAAAATAGTCTGGGGGCAACTTTTCTATTCTGGTCAGCACTACCCCGCAGGGATTTCTCAGGAACCCCTCTACTTAAACTTGATTTTGTCTACAGTTCAAAATAAGCATGTGGGCGCCCTGCCCAGGAAATTAGAAAGAGAGGCAATTAAAAGGCATCAGGCACTGAGCAATCTTTGCAGTGACCTAGCTGGTTTCTTTCCGGAGAGCCCCTGATACGAAGAATTCACCGCTTCATGAAGCATCCTTTCCCCGCAGTCCTTCCACTCCTTCCTGCTGAGCACGTGGCATCTGGTCTCTAGCACATCCAGTGTGAGGTAGAAGAGAGATCCCTGGCTATCCTGCGGGGAGGGGGAAGGAACACGCCACATTCCATTCAATACAGAACTCGATACAAAACATCTCTGCTTTATAAGAAAGCTAAAGAACGCAAGCCGTGTGACGATGCCTTGTACACTGAAGGGCCTTACAAAGGTGTCCCAGTAGGATCTGTTTCCCGTTACAACATTGAGCCTTGCAGCGCTCCTATTAGAGGAGGGCAGAGTGTTCTCAGCAGGATTTCCCATTTGGAGAGCCCCGCTCAACAGGCATCTCAGGGTTCCCACCCCTTGCCTTGTCTTTGCAGCCTGTCCCACAGGGGGAACCATCGCTTACCTGTCTGTGTTCCCAGACATCATGCACTCGGTTGGGCCCCAGCACGTAGCCATCCTTTTGGTCTCTGTTGATGATCTGCAGGGCCAAGCCTGTGACTGCTAGCACATCTGAGTCATTGCAGCCCCGGGAAAGCAGAGGTGAGGAGCTGAAAGCCTGCTGGGGTGGAGACTCAGCCCCCCAGCAAGCGGCCTGGGCCAAGATACAGAGTACCAGGGACCACAGCAGGCCCATTCTGTGGGAACAGGGCCACGGGAAGTCAGTATTTGGAGCTGCCGGAACTGGCTGTGTTGTGGGGCTCTGTAAGAGAGAGGAGAGTTTTTTAATTACAACCCAAATGACCGGCCAGGATTTAAAACACTATTTCCTAACTGAGCACCATGATTTCTAAATACAGATTTCCCTGCTCTGCATAGGACTTGCCAATACTGTACTTTAGACTCCTGTGCAATCCCACGTTCCTGTGTGCATGTCAAACACATTTAAGTTTCCTAAACTTTTTTTCCCCCAAGAAATCATAGCAAAGGTCGAGGCTCTTAGGAGGCTACGATTGGATTCTGGCTTGCATCCAGGGCTCAGTCTGAAGCAGAGTGTGGGGAGGCTGCCACTCCCTTCCCTTCTTCCTTGCAGCTTGTCTCTGTGTCCACACTCACAGTTACACAAGTCAGGAGCACGGGGTGACAGGTCCCAGAGGGGCTCGGGGAGTTCAGACTTCTCAGCCAACCTCCCGTGTTCACCAGCCTTGGTAGATTAGAAAGGTGGCTTCATCCCTCGGTCGTGGCCAGAAGCACAGGTGACATTCACTGTGCACGTTGTCTGGCCAGAAAGTGTTCTACGAACCTCACTGAGGATCTTTGAAGCCAAAGACAGTATTTGGCGGGGTAGCGGGCGCTAATGAGATATGGCAAGTTCTCCTATCATACTTCCTCCTCTGGATCTGTATGAAACTGAATTCGTCAGAGATTAAAACCCCATTGTTAAGAGAAAGATAATGATGGTTGGGTGGGCTGACTAGAACTCTGGCCTTCTTTTTTGTTTTGTTGGTACCGGGGATCGAACTCGGGTCCTTAAGCTTGCATGGCAGGCGGCGGAACCGCTGAGCTAAATTCCTGGCCCACTCTGGCCTTCTTTTACAGCTTCTGTTTGGGGGCTCAGGAAGGCAATCATGATAGCGGCCCATAATTCAACAGACAGTGAATGAGCCACTCCACAGTGGCAGGAACTGAGTCAGACTCTCCAGAATCCAGGGTTGGTAAGGCTGAGATGGTTAGCGTTTGTTTCCAACTCATGTGCTGGAAATTTAATCTCCAGCGCAGCAGGGTAGAGAGGTGGGCCTGCAAGAGGTGCCAAGGTAATGAGGACTGTGCCTTCATGAGTGAATCAGTGTCACTGCCACCAGAAAAGACTTGTTACCAGGGTGAGCTCGGTCTGCTCCAGCTGTCTCTTGCATCCTCCTCCCTCTAACATAGGATGACAGCAAAAAGAAAGGCCCTCACTAGATGCAAGCCCTTCAACCTGGGACTTCTCAGCCTCCAGAAAAAGAAGCTCTGCTTCCCTAATTGCAAATTCTCCGTTATAGCAGCACCACCTGGGCCAGTATGAATGATACTAATAAGATATATCCCTAACTGATTTCTGGAAGTAAATAACTGCTTGTTGAGGATGCATTTACAGCCCTACATCTAAAGATCTCAGTTCTCCTGAGGGTGGTCTCTAGGCATTGCTTTCAGATGGGAACAAGGTGAGGAAAATGTGAACTAAAAATAAGAAACACTAAAAGAAATTTCAAATTGGGCAGCCATCCGCCTGGGGAGGCTCTGGTACTTTAAATTCCTGTTCCAAGAAGTCAAAACTCCATGAAAATAATTCATCAGAACTAGAAACTTCACCATTCCAAAGCTGCTAACTCAACTCTAGTTAGGAACTCTCCACTCTGACCAATCCCAGTTGTTGATTTGTCTTGCTTCCGTGAATACTTTACAGAAATCTCTCCTCCCACCGTTCCTGGAGAAGTGTCAGCCCTTTTGTGGCCTGGTGATTCGAGAATTGCTGAACACTCCAATAAACTCTTTTAAATTTAAACGTGCTTTAGTTTTTCTTTTTTCATATGAAAACTAGATATTCAAATTCTGGGAAACTACAAAGATTTAGCTCCAGCCAGCAAGTGAACCAACTTTCCCCAAGCGTCTCCCTGCAGGTGGTCTGGGAATTCTAGGAAATGTCAGAGACCCACAGAGGTGCAAGCCACTAGAGAATTACAGTCAGGATCTAAAGAGCAAGTTAAAAAGAGACCAAGTATTGACCAGATGGTAGAGTAAACTTTGACTCCCCAGTTCAGCTCCTACCTGTGTGAGCCAGGATGAGCAGCACAACCTTTGGGAGCCCAGTTTCCTCATTGTGAAATAGGGTTTAGAGCCACACAATCCCTAAGAGCCCTTTGAACCCTAAAGTGAAGGTGTTCTTGCCTTTCTCTGTATCTGCCATGGTCCCGTCTCCAGGAGATACCACTCCTCAGATCCATTGAGATGGACCTTGTTCACCACCAGCCAGGGGGCTGGGTTTCAGTCTAATCTTAACCTGAGCCCAGTCTCCTTCTGGCTTGTAGGGTGTGGGAGCTCCAAAGAGGCTGCAGGGGGAAGAGGCCAATCTTTAGGGTCAGAAAGTCCTGGGTTTAAATTCCACCCTGCCACTGCATGGTAGAGGCCCCGAGTCACGGTGGGCTCCTATCCTATTAGATTTCCTTATCCATAAAACAATGGCTGTCCCAGCATTGTGCACCTCCCCCTAGGAAGAGGGGGACACATTTCCTCTTTCTCCAGAAGGCCAGGGACACAACTGTTTGGTTCCCATTATATCCGGGGACACTTTTAATACCAGCCTAGATGTAGTTTCAGCAGAGGAGTAAAGAGCAAGGCTTTGAGGACAACTTGAGTTTGATGCCCAGTTCTCTGCTTCAGTTCTCTGTCCAACTCAGCACCACCCAGTAAGGACACATGCAAATCACATATTCTACATTTTCCCATTAAACTATTCAAAGAAAAAAAAAGTTAAAAGAAACAGAGCTAAGCTTTGCGCAGTGGCAGTATCGTAGCAAATGAGGTTTATCCGAGGAGCGATTATTGCTAATTGAAACAGAGCTAACCTCAGCAATGTTTTTTGTGCTTTGCTTTTGGCTTTGGTTTTTGCTTTGTTTGTTTGTTTGGTACCAGTTAACCCAGTCTATCCAAAATACTGTTCTTTTTTTTTTTCCACTATTAAATTTATTGGTACATTTAAAGCAAGCAATATAGGTACATTTATCATTGGGATCTTGTACCTTTACATGATAGGTCTTGGTTCTTGTTGTTTCCCCATAGCCCTGCCCTCCCTTCACCCACTTTACCCTTCCCTATTCACAAAGACTTTGTTTGCACTATTTTCCTTTTTTCACATTTTTTCTTTTCCCTCATTTCCTTCTCCTCCCCTTCCCACTTCCTCTTTAGCCATTTTCTTCCTATTTCACATTCCCAATTACACCAGTTGAACCTCATTTACACCTTTCCGAAATACTGTTATAACATGTGGTTAATACAAAATATTGTGACAGCGGCAGTTTATGACCTTGTTTCATCCCACAGCTTGCCTCAGTTTAGATTAGCCACGTTTAAGGCGTTCAAGGGCCTGGTGTGGTAGCCTCGTACAAAAGCGTGGCCTCCCACGGTGGCAATGAGGAGCAGCCACTGGGGAAGGGCACATCCCCGGACCCACGACACCCAGGGACAGCACCCAGCTGCCAGCGCCACACCTGCCCCTGTGGTCTTTGCCATGTGACTCTGGAAGCGGCCTTTTCCCAGTGCAGGGATAGGGAAGGATCACGATCCCAACTGAGCCAGATTCAGAGAAATGAATGAGTGAGGAGGGACCTTGTGTGAGACTCGGGGCGGAGACTCAGGGCTGCTAGTTTTATAACAGAGAGGTGAGACAGGTGTGGCTTTGCTTGTTGCAAATCCAGGCACATGCGTAAGATCGGGTCTCAGAGGAGTTGGGGGCACAGGACTCGATCTGAGTGGGCAGAGCGTGTAGCTGGGAAAACTACACAGGACTCAGGCCGGGACAGCCCTGAGTAAAGAAGCTCTCTGTGGCCGGTCTGCGTTTCTTCTGTGCCCCTTTCTCCCTTTATTTTTTCTCCTCCCACAAACACTGAATAGGCATCTACTCCATACAGCGGCAAGGCCCAGCATGCTGTCAGTCACACAGTGGAATTTCTCAGCGTGTGCTCGGCCCTGCGCTAGACACTTTGTGTTCCTTCTCTTGTTGAAACCCCTGGCCAACCAACTCATTCCCACTGTATGGGGGAGAACGGCCCAGGCTCTCACAGACAGGCTTTGCACCCACCTCTACGGTTCATAGGAACAGGCACTATTTTTTATCTCAAAGAGTAAATGCTAGGAAAACGACAGAGGGAGAAAATTCTGCTGAGAAAATCAAGAAAGGCTTCTTAGAGGAGCTGACAGCCTGGAGCGTGAGGGAGGGCAGAGTGTCTGAAGGTCAGGGCAGAGAGAGAATGCGTTCATGCTGAGATCAAGGCAACTAGAGAAAGATATGTGAGTTGCATAGCTTACTTTTAAGTCTTTTCAACCCCGCCAGATGTCCTCTCTGTAAGGTACATGGTATCTGCTGCTCGCAAGCCATTCACTAGCTTCGGGCCACCTTTTGGTAGTCTGTGTCTGACTCTTCTTAAAGCTCTTAAATTTAACACCTCCCTTATCTTACTTTGATCAATCCTATTTAGGCAATACATGAAAAAATTCAGGATGTTTAGAGCATTGTTCTCAGCTCTTAGGGCAAATCTGCCTTGTAGCACTGAAAGTGAGATTTCCTCCAAGAATCCCTAAGGTAGGGCAGCTAAGAGCCCACATCAGGTTCAGGCAAGCTTTGGTTCAAATCCCAGCTCAGCACTTATGGGCTGGGACTGAGGATGAGTTCTCCGTCTTCTCTGAGTCCATAGCTCTCCACAGGATGGATGTGAGGCTCAGGCGGGACCTCAATGGGAAGCACTTGACACACAGTTTACCCTCAGCACTTCAGCAAGAGATTCTCAAAGATAAGAAGGGGCCAGGGAGGATCTCCAGCCCACACAGCATGCTTACCATAGTGCCAGTCTATGAAAAGAGACATCAAGGATTCTGCGATGCTGACCTCTTAGAGAAGCATCACTGCAGACAAGACCTCAGCTTTGCAGGTCCCTCAGCCAGGCTTTCCCAAGGACTGGTGTCACTTGGGCCTGAGAGCTGACTCACATGAACCTCTGCCCACAGAACTGTTGAAGAAAGCAGAAGCTTGTTTGTTGACTTACGCTGCAGAGGGAATGCTTCTCCTCCTGTCTTCCCAGCAGGGCTGGG